AGTTACTCTGTTAAATCCTCTTCACCTTATAAGTTTAGAAATAACAAACCAAACAAGCTATTTGCTGTTTGTCCTACGAATGAAAATAGTTCATGCCCTTTTACTGTTTCACTAACAAGCGCGAAGATGGTTTTATTATATAATAAAGTTGATTTCTCATGATCCAACTTGTCAAACTTTTATAAAATCATTAATCAGTTGATGCAGAATTATGTGTTCCTGATAATGAAACTTTGCCGCCAACTACAATTAAACAAGCAGGATGGCCACGAAACTCAGTTGCGTAGTCGTGGAGAAACCACTAGAAAATCATAATTCGCGTACATACAGTCGAAGACTTAGAAAAAGAAAATAGTATGTGTATTATTTAATATTAAATAATTTCTATAACATGTAATTAGGCTTGCGTAGTAACATTCAAAATTGCGTTGATAATACTATTTATTTATTTTTTAATGAATTCGATATAACGAAATTCTAAAACGTCTAGTTTAAACTGACTCTTTTTTAGCTAACAATATATTTGGGCCCTTATTTGTAATAATTTTCAAATTTCGGGCCTCTATTTGTAATTATTTTCATTTTGGGCCCTTATTTGTAATTATTTTCAGTTTTGGGCCCTTATTTGTAATTTTCCCATAATTTCAACACCCAAATTACCATCGAGAATTACAAAACCGTTTTCAGCAGTTATCGATGATGCACATACAGCAGAAATTGTTTCATGGGTTGATAGAAAAGCTAATAAATATTTAATAGCTGATAATCCATACGAGTTTAAATTAATTCTTCGTGGAACTAGAGATGGGTTTACCAAAGATTCATTTTGGGATTTATGTAATATGAAAAAATATCTTGCCGTAATCATGAAGGTTAAAGGTACCAATGAAATTCTTGGTGGTTATAATCCTATGAAAATTATTTTGGATATAAACATTGTAAAGATAGCTTTATTTTTTCGTTTAAAAATGGTATCATTCAAAATTCTATTTTAAGTCGCGTAAAAAAGTCAAAATATGCAATTTATTGTGATTCGGTTAATAATGGACTAATTTTTGGTGGTGGCTGGGGTTTAGCTATGTTGAATTGTTTTGACAATGTAGGAATTATCAAATGTCATACGAAAAACAAATCATAGATGCATCTACATTTGATCTTGATGGATGTTCATATTTTTCGGTGGATGAATATGTAATATTCCAGATTAGTAAAAAAAAAAAACTCCTAAAAGCTATATGCTAATTCATTGAATAAATTACTTTATTTTTGTTGTTTATAAATTCTACTGCGGTTTATAGTGTGACTTGTTAACCTTCTTCACATATTGTCTTAAAGGTATAAAAATTAATAATAATTTTGCAAGCTTTATCTAGAATAAAATTGGTTTATTAACAGCGACATTTTGTTTATTTTAAATCTCGCGAAGATTAAAATTATAAGTGTATAAATTTAATTTATTGATTAAATTTTTTTTTCTATTATTTATTATTATTAATAAATCTTGATATAGCATATAAAGGCAGGTCACAAACCCGATATTTTTGACTCGTTTATTAGGTCAAATAAAATATATCAAGTTATATGGTGTTTTGTTATTGAATAATGCCATAAACGTCGAGGAATTATTCCTGTCAGGGAAGTCTTTATCGAAGAGATGTAGACGAGTTGCACCTCTAAAAATAATAAAAAATAAAAATTGCGAACTAATAATTTTTTTATCGATAATTTAAGTCATACACGTATTGTCGCGAAATAACGGACATGGGCGTTATTTAGAGATTTGGCCAGAATTAAACTTAATTTAGGCCGAAATTTGTAATTTCACCCCTGCGCGTTATTTCGCGACAATACGGTATTAAATTTTTACTTCATTTTAAAAAATTAAGTGATTTGTGTGATAAATCATTTCAAGTGCAAGGTATTGCATTCTTATTTCCACTCCATCAATATATGCGTTCATCAAAAGAAAACCAAACTCCGAGTTTTTGAATTTATAACTTGAACTCAGTTCTTAAAAAATCCAATACAGAGAACATTTGAACGATTATTAATAAGGTTGGTTCTCTGTTTTACATACCCCTTCAGACCCTCCCATCTCCCCAGGTAATGACTGGAATTCCGGTGTAGACAATAAACAAACCTAAATATGAGCGTGGTCGAGCCTTAGAAGATAGGGCAAAAAAAAAAAAATCTATATGTATAATACACCCCAGAAGGTAGAGGAGGTCATGTAAAACACAGAATTAAATTGGTCTTGCCCAGGGACACGGAAAAATACCGGTTTGATATGTAAAAAATTCATTTCGATATAGTAAAAAAATCCTTTTTATAGCGATACTCCTATTTTATCTATACAGTCAATTCTCCGCAAGTGCTCCTTCTATCTTCATAAGTGCCATTTAATTTCGCAATAAAATATATTGCATTTAGAGTAATTATTAACATGTGTTACAATTAGATTTCTCTATAAGTACACATTTTCTAGACGGAGAGCTCACTTTCTATAACTCTGCGACCTCCCGACTAATTCGCCCATATTTCATATTTCTTGATATTTTCCGAACTTTTCTGAAACTTTCCGACGTTTCTAATTTTCTTACCTGGCCCAAATTAAACATATACTGCTCTTAATTTTGCCCAAAAATTCGTCGCCGTCAAAAATTCCATTTTATACCGTTTTGTACTAAAAATTCCGTTTTATTCATATCTATATATATATGAATTTTTCCGTGTCCCTGGTCTGGCCTAATCAATAGAAAAAATTTACTTCTACCAGTTAGCAAAATACGATAAATATCAACTACAGTCAGACCTCCCTAAATGCAATACTTCTCTAAATGCAACCTCAAGCTCTGGCCCAAGTATATTTCTGACCCTTATAAATGCAATTCTTCTTATTGTTCTCTAAAATGCATGTTATAAATGCCTGACCCCAACGAGTTACACTTAGGGAGGTCTGACTGTATATAGTAATTTAATAAATGTTCATATCATACTTTAAATATATTCTGGTTAAAATTATTTAACCAGTGAAAAAAGAACCTTAAATATTATTATAAATCATCCTATTGCTATCGCCGTAATATATCACATAATCGTTGCCGACTTCAACTTTTATTAAATAAAAGTCATATTAAATCCACTTATTATCTCTTATTAACAACTCAAACCTAAATACCACTTTAAATTCTCCAAAACAAAAAAATTTAAATTTCATATTAAAATTTCAGTAGCATTTTATACTTATACGTACTGTATATCTACTTTGTATTTGGCCAAAATCAAATTAAAATCTCATATTAATGGTGCCTGACGAATGACAAAACTTTCGTCCAAATAATGAAAGAAATTTTTCAGACTGACTAACAAAACATATGACGAATGGTTAAAATTATAATAAATGATGAAGCACAAGACTTTTATTCATCTTTCATAATCTAAACAAATCATCTTAAGTGAAATTAATTTTTTGTTTGCATTGTCCTATCTATCCACTTTCTAACACGTTTATTCGAGAAGGCTTTAGCCTATCGTTATAATAGGGATGTTAACAGTCCGGTCTGGTTAGGTCTGGTCAACTTTGGTCCAAGGTCTATTATCGTTATGGTCTTCTATCTTAAGACTTTGCTAGTCTAGGCCGGTCCAGGCCGAACCAGTCTTAAGACTTAGAGCAGACCAATTTTTTTTAGGTCTAGGCCGGTCTTAAGACTACTGTGGTCTATTAGTCTAAGACCGACCACATAACATTCCTACTTTATGAAAAAAAAATTCATTTTGAAAACATAGCACGTGATATTGTCCAATCAAACTTTATTATATCATGTTATTAACAACTACCGCCAAATAATTTTAGAGTTATTTATATAAACATGCTGTCTCCTTTAATAGGTTAACAGTCTTTGGTCATCTACCTCAACAAAGAACCTGATTGATCAAACTGGCCGATCAGATTCCTTATGGAATTCATTGAATGATGCTTGGGAACGCCCTTAACAGTTTATTACATGCAGTTTAAAGCCATTTAAATCATGCTCACTTATGTGGTTCTAAGTCCTGTGACGTCATGGAGCACGTACGTATGTACTGTACGTACGTACATACATACGTACGTCTGTGCGTACAGTACGTGCGTACCCCTGCTTAACATCTTTTCGATCTATCGACTTTACATTAGCTTGAATTATTTATGTGATTTATTTTAAAGTACAGTTGATATTCATCATAATGCAACCTTAAAAGTCAAAATTCTGGTAAATGAAATTTAATATTAAGGTTAAACGAGATTAAGAAAAAAAACTTCTTTAACTGTTTCGAGTTTATATGAAGATCCTTAATGAGAGACTTTTGAAACCTTACTTCATGCTTAAAACCCTCAGTGATTTATTCACAATGATATAATGTAAAATGAAAAAACGACAATTTTTTATTTAAATCAAAATATAATACTCTATATTTTAAATAATATTAAATCTGACTTTATTAAAAAATCACATAACAGCTATAAACAATTAGGTATTATGAGTTAACACAAATTAAATCAATTTATAAACATTATTAACTCACTAGCAACGCTGCTAAGTGATACTTAGAAATAAAAGTAAATCTACAAAAAAAAAAATATAAGAATATACTTTCATATGTTTTTTTTTTTTTTTTTTTTTGACATATTTAAAATAATAATGAATTAATTATTAGTAATATATAAAAGGTTTTATATATATTCACAACATTACTGCCAAATCAAATAAAATTACGGCTCCACTCCTCAGCATCGACAAAATAGTCACTAATATCATCACTCGTTTTTTCTTCCGATCCTGATTCATCATCAACTTTAGATATAACAAGAACAGGTACCGATACATTATTTTTTCCCATATATGAACTTGTGAACGATTTTTCTCCTTGACCGCTCTTAGGTCTCAAGACTGATAGTGGCCGAGTTCGTGAAATTTTAAGTTGAGCATTAGAATCATCTTTAACAATCAATTCTTCATGCTCAGATTTCTTTCCTTTTTCATCATTTGATGATGATGTAACTTCAGTAAATTCTGTTACTCGAATTTCTATTCCATCCGAACGTTTTCCATCATAAACAGATTCAACATCTATCAAACTAGGTTCATAATCTTCATTCTCACTTCCATTCGATTGTTCTTTGACATCATCAAGTACAATTATACTACTAGCATCATCTCTAAAACTGTAATCATCTCGATCATCAAGTTCATACTCAGAAATATTTCCATGAAAATCACTACCCTCTTCATTATCACCATAGGTTGAAAGTGAAGTCCTACTAGATTCACCAGAACTTGAATTTAAAGATAGTGATGATGGAGAAGTACGAAGGAATGAAGCCATAGTGGCAGGTCTTATATTACTTTCAGAGTTTCTCTCAGTTGGTTCAAGTAATTTATTATTACTACTAATTGGTTCCTTAACAAATAATCGTCCAAATGTTTCAGGAACTCCCAAAGTTTTTGTTGATAAATTAGCTGTCGTATAACAAGACACAACTTTATCATCCATATTATTATCTACAGGTGTAAAATAACTTCTTCGATTTTGCCAATAAGTTTTATCTTCCATTACCGTTGAACATAAATCTTTTTCCAAAATTTCATGATAACATACAAGTTTACTTAATTCTAAACATGTATGTTTTAGTCGAGATCCTACTAAAGTTGCAACTTTTAATATACGATCTCTTGTTGATGCTTTAAACGGCATCATTAGAAATAGATTGTTTCTAAATCGAATATCAGCTTGAAGCTGAGATGTTAACGTAGTAATTTTACCCCGAAGTTCATTAGTTTTTGACTATCAAAAAAGAATTATTATTAATAAATTAGTTAAAATGAAATTAATAATTCAAATACGAAAAAAAAAAAAATTATAAAAAGATGAACATACACGAATCAAATTGGTACGTCCTTGTGCTTCTTTAGCAGCATCATCATGACTGTACCCAAACATTCCAAAATTAAAACTGCCTCGTCTTAAATTTCCAATATTCGGATTCCGAATATTTCTCATCTTTAAACCAGCAGTTTTAAATGTGGCAGCATAATTGATTTTTGATATCCAATCATTCATTTCTTCTTCATTTTCGGCTTTAAATAAATATTGATGTCCTTTTGGACATACTAAACGAAAGACATTTTTATGTTTCTCATAATTTTTATCATATACTGCCACCGAATCTCCTGTCATGAGTATTACATCAGGTTTTAAGATCGGTAATTTTGATTTCTAGAAAAAATTCATTAATAATTAAAATGAATGATTGTAAAAGGAACTTTTATTCAATATAATAATCAATATAATAAATAAATAAACAAACCTCAGGATTATTCAACCTTTTCATTTGCATATTGAACCCTACTTCATCTTTAAAGAACATCAATTGACTACCACTCAATATGACGCCATATATTCTCCAATTTCTTATGAAAGTACTTTTCTTTTTACCATCGATTAAATCAACCTTTCTTCCAAGTTTACCACATTTAGTTACATTTAGAAAATAAGTTCCATCATCATCTGTTTGAGTGTCATTATATGTATGGCTCTTACGTCTATTTTTAACACCAGTGATTCGGATTGAATTAGACGTAGAAAATACACGGTGAAGATCCGTGGTGTCTAAAGCTGGTAGGGTTCCCATATAAGAATATGGATTTTCCGTGGGAACAATATCTTTAATTTTAGGTTTAAATTCCGTAGGTGATTTCTATTTATGTATATGTATAAAAAAAAGATCAATGAGCTTATTGTATATTATTAAATTAATTCGACATCAGGTTCATTTGAACTTACAGTTTGTATAACCCAATAAGGATCGTTTCTAAAACGTATAGATTTTTTTCGTTCTTTTGAAGAGAACAACCTCCTTTGACGATTCTGTGTCGGTGATGCAAGCATTGTTTGACCATTAACATCAGTATCATCTTGAGCATATATGAATTGAGTATATGTAACATTATCATAGAGAATCTATAATATGATATCACGTGAGTTAAAGTAAGTTTTTTTAAGTAACCAAACATTCATTCGACATTAATAATATTCACCTCCAATATTTCTGGATTAACGCCATCGATACGAGTATTTCTAACAAATTCTTCTTTTGTCATCTTTTGCCTTACGCTTTTATTATAATAATCGGTGTGAAGCATTAATAAAGAGAATGCGAGCATATAAGGGGTATCTAATTAAAAATTATCAATAGTTAGTTATCAGTAGTTATTAGTAGATTAGAAGGGTAATGCAAGATCATAAATAAATAATTTACCAGCAGAAGGAAATAAATCAGGATTTGATTCGTGATAACATTTAGCAAATGCTTCTATAACTCGATCAATTTGTTGCGTTTCTTTTGGCAAATTACATTCCATTAAAAGTTTTCTAATATGATTTCAGGTGCATATTTAGTTAATTATTTTAATTATTGATTTTATAAAAATATAAAAAATAAAAATATATTCGTCTTATTATTAGAATCTATAAAAATATACCTCAAAGCAAGATCAATAGGAACTTTTTCGAACTCAAAAAGTTCCATGTAAGCTTTAAGTGCAGTTTGATGAAAAGTATCAGATCTATAAAATTGAGAAAAAAAAAAAAAAAAAAAAAGCGTATCATTAATTAACATCATCATCTGATCATTCCTGTAGTAAATTTCACCCGATCAAAAATAATAATAAAAACTCACTTTTGCGTTAATATGGTAACCAATTTTGATCTTGAAACACCATACATCATCCTTTCAAGATATTGTTTTGGAGTCTCTCTATCAATTTTAGCTTCAAACTCATTATTTAAATTTGTCATGGATTTCGTCGAAAATGCTTTATTTATATTATCAGGTAGTGACATAGTCGAAATATTTAGAATAGGAGCTGATCCCGTACGTTTATGTTTTTTAGGTAGTCTAGAAGGACTTTCTCCAATCATCGAGCTCCTGAAACCTGATGAACTCTTTGTCTCTAAAGTGGGATCTCCGTGATATAAAGTTGAACTTCTACTACGTCGAGGTTTACCCTCATTTTGTGATGGTTTTATTGTAGGAGAAGAGGTTATTGAATCATTTTTTGAATTTGAAGATTCACCATGACTTGATTTGCTAGTCTTTATTGGTAATGATGAGGGTTTGGTAGGAATGATATTATTATATGAAGTTGATGGTTTTAATATCGACGGTAAATCGCTCTTCTTTTCCGATGTGTCCCTAAAAGACGTAGATGGCTTTGATGTCGATGAAACAGAATTATTTTTAATATGACCTTGAGATTTATGTGGATCATTATTATCGAAATTCATAGGATCGAAACCATCGACATCAGGATTTTTAGAGACAGTAGTAGTTGTAACTGTAGTGACTGTAGTTGTAGTGGTCGTTTTTGTAACCGTTGCATTGGATGGTTTAATATCATCTGCTATAGGCTCTCGTTTAGGTAAGGGCGGAGCTTTCGTAGTAGTAGTGGTTGTTATTTTCGAGGAAGGATTATTATCTCGTGCTTGAGATATAGCAGATTTTGCCGAAATTGACTTTCGTTTATTTGACGAAAACATATTATGTACGATTATATGTATAATCCACCAAAATGAATGAATGACACGTGGATATTTATTTTGAATAAAAGAAAGTCAAAAATTTTATGTAATTTGACGGATAGCCGACAAAAAACATGAAACACTTTATTTATATAGAAGAGAAATGAAAGATCTGAAATAAATGAAAAATTTTTTTTTTTTATTAAAAAAAAAAAAAAAAAAATAGTATCGAAAAATTGTATACTGATTAAATTGTATACTGATTAGTTTGGGTACACACATCTATGCATATTACTGGTATCCAACATGCATTAATGTAAAATGTGAAATGATTGGTATTAAATGTTATAGTTAAAAAGTTTAATCGATCTTTGGCATAAATATTTTTGACAATTATATTATAATATTTAGTGTTCTCTTTTGTTTACATTACACTACTTTTTGAAAAAAACGCACAGACGAAATGTCATATTATAGACATAAAACTATTAATGTAATGAAAAAAATTTTTTTACGGCCCTGTCCGAATATTTAAAGCATTTTTTTTTATTAAACCTTAAATAAAAATCAACGTATAAACTTAATCGTATACATGTGAATTTGATATCACGTAAGCCCACAGGGGGGAGGGACCCATTTTAAGTAGACAAGAGTTAGAGAAATTGCAGAATTGTCGATCTCATATATAGACAATGCCAGGGACGTTAGATCTATTATTTGCCACGATAACATTGGTTAATTTTCTGATATTATTGGCCCAATAAAATTTTAAGGGATGGTCAGATGTTATCAACATATATTACCCTATTACCCCTTAATATTAAATAAATTTAGTATTAATTTAATATTAATAGGAACACATACTGTGCGTGCGTGCGTAAATACTTACGTACGTAATTAAAAACACGAATAAAGATTCGAATAGAAACATTGCAATTCTCGCAATAGACCATCCAAAAAAAATGCAAAGTGATACAAATGTTACGTTTTTGATGCAATTAGAATATCCGATATTAAAAAATCAAAAACGTAACTTTGTATTTTTCTGTTGTTTCCACTTGTGCTACACAACAATAGCGCGTTAAAAAATATACGTTATTTCTATAGAACTATCTTAGCATATCATTAATTTAGTGGTGAGAATAAAAAATTAGTCAAAGAAATTATCTTTAAAAAAAACAAATTTAGTAGTAAAAAAAACTTGATCGCAACGTTTAGATAATTTTTTTGAATTGAGTTTTATAAGTGTTTTGGAACTTTATCTTTTAAATACTGTACTTGTAGGTGAGCCAATATCATTTAATAACGACTAAGATTTTAATCGTCCAGAATAAATTGATATTATGAAAGAGGCACGTGTTCATTTACAAAATTACCTACAGTTTTAAGGGAACAAAATTACCTACAGTTTTAAGGGAACTAATATTTTCACACCCTTTTTATTATTTCCACACCCCTTTTTTATATTTCCACACACCCCACTAGTTTCGGATTTTTTAAAAAGACCAGAAACCCCCGAAACTCTAAAATATAATCCGTAACTCCCCGAAAACTATGATTTGAAATTTTTATAATACACATAATAACTACATATATTTTATAATAAATTAGTTTATTATTTAATAAAACCATTTTTAATAATAAATAAATAAATAATTTTATAAATAAATAAATAAATAATTTTTTAATAAATAAATATGCAATAAAAAAAAAAAAGTTTAATAAATAATATAAAATATAGATAAAATATTTTATATTACAGTATACTATATACTATATTTGAGATAAAAAAAAACCATAAAATTAAAGAGTATTACTAACTATAACCGGTGGTGATTTAGCTATATCTCAAAAACTAGGGATGTTAATGTCTTGTTTAAAGCCAGCTCAGCCATGGCTTTGCAGCCAAGCCATTTAAAGCCAGGCTAGCCGGCTTAATATATCAATATTACATCATTAAAATATCATAAAGTCATAGCTTTGAACTACAGCTTGAGCCATAGTTTAAGCCACGGCTAAAAACCGGCTTATAAAATTTGATTGCATCAAAAAATAATTAACTATGCAATACGCTTTGTATTTTAAATTTTGTTATATCAGTATGACTAAATTCAAAATATTGAAAAAAAATAGTTGAAAAAAATAATTGAACAAATTTTAACTAGCAAATGATTGTACATTGTATTTTTATTACCGTATAGTTCCGAAATTAATCACCCTTTTTTTGTTATAAGAGGTGCTTATTTTCGGATATAATTTTAAGAATAAATAATATAGAAATTTTGTACTAAGTAACTTGCCTTCTGTTTCTAAGTAAAACTGTTCCCCATGTCAAGACGATTCTAAGGCAGTAAAATCATAAAAATTTGCCCAGTAGAACTTTCGCAATTCTCTTCAAAATTTGGGCGACGTTTGTTTACGTT